AGATATATATATATATATATATATCTTTAACAAGACAAGTGTAGGAAATAAGGGAACTGAAATAAGTAAATATCTCTCTATGGAGGTCAAAACATCATTATCCATTTTGTGTTTTAAATAAGTTTTTAATACCCATACTGGCTGTCTCTACTATATATTCATCTCTTTAATCTAAGAACAGTTGGAAATATTACATCTATAATAAGAAACCATGTTTTTTTAATATAAAAAATATGGTGAATGGCAACTATAATAAGAAATCTTAGCATATATATAATTATGAGAACTATGATATATATAATAAGAACTCATTCCTTTAATAAAAGAACTATGACAAATATGATAAAAAGAAATTCTCTCTAATATGTGAACCACTGTAAACATGAAAACTACAATAAGAACTGTTGGAAATTAAGAAAAAGCCCCGTAACTATAAAAATTTGCAAATACGACAATATGAAAAAATTCCTTAATATCAGAACTGCAAAAAACAAAACATCTACAAAAAGTAATCTGTTTAGTATAAAGACTGCTTATTAAGTTCTTAACTAAGGTTTAATCTAAGACTACTGGTAGATCCTTGACATGAACTGACAACTGTAAACAAAGATTTTTTCTTGCAGGGTCATTACTCTAAGCACAAGGCCCTATACTCTACACAAGTTAATGAGTGGTGTTTACAACTCTACAAATAAACATTTGTTAACTTACTTCACAAGAGTTCCACCTAACTGATATTAAAGGTCGGATGTTGTCGAAACAAACTACTTTCTTCATGTCCTCAAAACTTGGATCTGTAGGTACACAGTCTTTATATGGTAGCTCGTACTCATCCACCACACCTGGTCAAATCCATGTGTTTTAATTTTTCATTAATATTTTGTTTAGTGTTTCTTTAAATAATGTAATAAGAAACTAAATATTCACTAACAAAATTTTTTTTACATATATTTGCTTTTTTTAAGATCGAAACACGTATCTGATAACTAAAAATTCTGAGGCACACATCTTTCAGCCTAGTTACTCTCATATATACTATTATAGCATGTGTGTGTTTCATTATAGCAAAGCCACATCAAGCTATCTGCTGTGTCCCTGATTTTAGCATTGTAAATCCAAAGACCTACTTACCACTGTCCCACGTGGGGACTTACTATTAGCAGGATTATATATTTTTCCTTGCATATCAGCACATAAAACTTGTATGCTGCAAATTTTACTACTTGTAAAAAATACCTTTGGAAATATCTTCTAAACTTTAATATATAATAATGTTAGGGTTGCACAATCAAAGAAAATTTTATTATTTACCATTCTTAACACAACACCGAGCAATTTCCCAAAGAACAAGCCCAAAGGAATACATGTCTGCCATCTTGTAGGAATCAAAATGAGAAGTGTTGATTGTCTCATCAAGAACTTCTGGTGCCATGTAACGTTTAGTTCCAACTCTCGTGTTGGCAGCAATGTCAATTTCATTCAATTTGCTATTAAAAAGGAAACTGTTATTTAGGTTTTCAATGACTTTACCTATAAAATAAGCCTAACAACCATAGAATCAGCTAGAAATACACAATAAATTTTTACCTGAACAATATGGTCAAAATGAAAATAATTTCTTACAAGATTTGATTATATCCTAACAATATACAAAACTACGCAACTTGGAACCAAACCAGACATAAAACTACCATTTTTCTTACAGTCAGACTTAATATCAAATCTTTACTTGTCATATCTTAAGCCTATACTTGTTATACATACATTAACTATCATATTTTATATCCAAAATTTATATACATATTTTATATCTTATAAACTTTATGTATATATATTTTCATTACATGTTCCAAAAAAATTGACATTCATACATTATATCATATTTTACAATCTTTATATGCATGCTTACTAGTTATATACAAAACATTTTTTTTTCATACTCAAGCTTTAAGACATAAAATACCTGTCATATCTTACAGCCAAGCCAAAGTCTGCTATAGCGCAAGTCCTGTCCTTCTTCACTAAGATGTTTTTACTTTTAATGTCTCGATGAGCAATAGCAGGCTTACCTTAAAGGGAAAAAGCACAAGATTGAGAAAATCAAAAATCACAACATATTTTTGAAATATATATATATATATATATATATGCATGTATATATACATATTTAAGCAATTGTTTAAGATCTTAATGATATCAAAACCCTAAATATAAAAGTTTATATACATATTTTTTCATGAGAAATTCAAATGGTTTATATAACTAACATATTAATAAATTCAAAAGGAAATGACATCCCAGCTTTGACTAATTAATAATCTATCAAAGTTCCTTATGTTTTTAAGTAAGACCAATTTATTATTTTTTGCCAAATATAAAAGCTGGGGATTGTGAGAAAGACAATAAAATTACTGTAGTTTGGTAGAGTTTAAAACCTTTCATAAACAGATTATCAAAATATAGCTGCAAAAATTAGTCAATTAAGTAATGCAGAAAACTAGTTCTTCTTGAGAAAAAAGAATTGTTCAAGAGTTTAAGTGAAAACTGAAAAATAAATCAACCATAAAAATTATAAAAAGTTTAACAAAAGTTTTGGAACTCCTATTTTATTAATTTTTTGTCATGTAAGTACTGAACATTTGGTGCTAATCTTTTAAAAACACAACAGTATAAGTAAACTGAAACAAAAAAGAAACACATTGACACAATATGTCCAACAAAAGTTGTCATCCACCAAGTTTCTGTCAGTTAACGTTTGCAATAATGGTTCCAGTATTTTTGTATCTAGAAAAATAATACTATAATACACCAAAACATTTATATACAAAAAACATAAGATATCTAAATAAAAAACTTGGGAACACTGAGTTTATCTTCACACAAATGGTGTCATATTTTTAGCCACAGCATAGCTCACAGAATGACTGAGTTTTTTTCAAGTACAAACTTTTGGCTTGTAGCTCTGACATCTCTTGACCAATTTGAGATCTAATTACAGTTTTGGACTCAGGAGGTCAAATCCTTTCAGTTGATATATTTGACACCCAAGGTCTCCTAGAGTAAATTAATCTATGGTCAAATACCTCCTGAGTCCAAAATTTAAATTAGTTCTAAATTTGGTCAAGAGATGTCAGAGCTACAAGCCAAAAGTTTGTACTT